CCATCTCACATCATATCACACATATGCAAGTAAAATAATGTCTTGATATCACATAGTCCTCCAAAATACTTTGTCAAATCTGTATACTTCCCAACATACTAAATACCGAGTAATAATTTTAGAATAGCATTCATAAGTCAATATAATGTTTATAAACTTTGAATAGTAAGATTTCCTTAACAACCCTTATAAGGAATAATTCTCCACGATCGTCTCAATGGTAATAAAAAGATTTAATTCCCAAAATATTTAATCCTCCCATATGTATATCCAAAATTATTTAAGGTCTCAAAATAATTCCTCCAATAGATATTTCCATTCTCAATTCCAACCAAAGTAATACTTTATGTTTCTTTTAAGAGTGGGCGAAACTCAAGATTCCTCGAGTCCAATGAGTCGTTGTTGTCTACGACTCATCCCGGAATTCCGGCTCCCACCGACCACCAATTGGAAGCTGAATTTCTACCTTAAGTGTGCACACCCTCTAAAAGAGATTCCAAGCTCTCCGAGTAGTAAGAAATCCAAGTAGGCGGGATGTTTTCTACCACCTACTCGCAAGGGACATTGTCCAAGGGTAAATTAGGTTACTACTACTACGACCACCAAAGGATCTTTGATCCTCAAATAAAAGCCCGGGATGTCTACCGGTGCGTGTCATTGCCGGACTGGTTACCGACCCAAATAAATTTCACCAAAAGTAGTAGTAGCCCTAACCACCCACGTCTCGTGTTTCTCTCGAGACGTAAAATATATTATGAAAACTTTAAGCTTTCCCCAAAATCATTCTTTTCACACTTCCAAAGATATTCTTTGTAATAAATATCAATCCACCAATATTCTTTAAAAAGAATATACATTTAATCATCCATAGAAAATAAACCACCAATACTAGCTCGTATGTTCAAAATATTCCATCCATATCAATCATAAATTTCCAAAATCATAAACACTTCCCATAGTTCAAATATTGCATACATATAAGCATGCGGTAAATCATTTATTTTTATTGGCCTCGAAAGCTACATTACTATAAAAATAAGTACTAATTATACTCATATAGAAAGATGTTGATTTTCTATATTGTATCAAAATCTCTTAAAATCATTTGTAGCTCGATAATAATCTTGATAGTCAAATGCTCGTAATATTATTCAAGTATGGATTCTATAAATAAATATTTTTATTAAAACACCTCAAAAGTGTTAATGAGGAAAAATAGTATATTTTGGTAAAAATACATTCGTACCCTACTCATGTATTTAAAATAATAATTTCAAAAACATTGTAATCTCATATACGTGTATACTTTTATTGATATTCCTTCAATTATCGAAGAGGCAAAACATTTATACCTTTTAGAAAACATAGGTAGGTACTTGCTTGTCATCACCATATCTGTAATATCAAAAGGATATAATATCCGTACTAAAATCTCTCAAAATCATCTATAATTTTTATAGCTTCAAATACTAATTTACAACATAAAGTTAAAATATAAAGTTATTGTAATTTTTCATAAAAACTTCTATGAGATCGAAATATAAATCTTTGAAAGTACAAACTCTTTTACTAGTTTAAATATATATATATATATATATATATATATATATATATATATATATATATATATATACACACACACACACACATGTGTATATATATATATATATATATATATATATATATATATATAAAATTCTTTATTGAAGCTTTATAAATAGTAATAATATGATGTTCAAAAACCCACCCTTATCAGACCAAGAACTTGTCATATTTCCAAAAGTAGTCATTCCATCCAATCTCACATTGTAGTTTTCCAAATAAAGACATAATATCCAAATCACACCTTTTCAAAATCAGTAAACTTATTTTGTACACAAGGTAGCCATATTTCTCATATCTAAATATTTTATCAAAATCTCCAAAACTAACCGAGAAAGTCACAAATTTAGTAACACTAGTAAAATAGTAATTTCAGCAAGTCCAAATACTCCACATATTTTCAAATAATATCAAATCTCAAAATTTGGAACATAATTCACATATAAGTTTTTGAAACTATTAACTAGAGGAATAGTAGTTTTGATTGACGGAAACACTTACCTCGATATGTGTCACTCCTATTCAAGTTGTTATTTCGGCCTTCACCGCAATACCTTTTAACGTGTAAAATTTTCACAATCATCAGCACTTTATTATATTTTTGGATTTGATCAAATTTCTCCTAACTCATTCATTATTATCTCAACGAATTTTTAAGAATTTTCGGCCAGCCTAAATGATACCCACTTCAGTCATTTTCCATACTTTCTGTATTAATCTAGGTGGCCCATGATTATAAGCTAGATCAAGAGGTCATGTTAAAATAAATACGTAGTAGCACTTGCTTAAAAGAATAGAAGTACAGGTGTATACCGTGTACGTCATTTTCCTTCAGCGAGAAGAGGGGTACGGTCCTGGCTGTGACAAAGACGGCGAATCCACACCTCCACCACTCTAGGCGCAGGTACTGGCAGTAGGTTGGCGACCCTCTGCGTCAGTGACTTGGTCCATCGGAAACAACCCAAGTTTCCCCCGGCGTGACATACCGGCATACTTCTCCTTTTCCGGCGGGTCCTTCTTCTCCGGCGAGACGTTAGGAGACGACACAGTTCAACTCCTCGATGCGGCGGCGACGCAGGGCAGGGGATGGCACATCGTTCTGTCCAGGTGCTCCTTCTCCGGCGACGTACTTCTCCTCCCGGTGAAGACGATTCAGAAGTTCAGCCACAGGCCCACATTCCTTCCTCGTCTTCCAGCGACATCTATCTCTCACTCTCGTTTCTCACTCTCTTTTCTTTTCTTTTCTTTCTACGTCGTTCGCTCGTTTTGGGTATATGCAGCGAGGGTCTATCGGGTGGCTGCTATTTAAACATGGTATGGGTTCTAGGCTAAGGTTTTGTCTCCAAGAGATATGGGTGGATTTATCAAGATTAGCTTCTTCATTGATATGGGTGGGTTTGTCCAGATACGTGTCTACGCAATCCATTATTTTTGACGTGATATTAATTAGTATACCATCACTTATCATCCTTTTATTATTATGTGTATGCATTATTAAGAGTGGCACGTACGTACCAATGGCTACCCATGTGGGTTTCTAATTAATTTCTATGGCAAGATCCGAATATCTTATTGGCTGATTGGCATATTTGGTGAAACATATCATGTGAGTGCATACCCTTGTATATTATTGCATTATTACTGTGCCATGTCTATTCTATATTATTGCTAGGTTATTGTGGATCCATTATTATTGATATGTGTACTACGAACTCAGAATGTATTATTAGATTTCAAAAGTCAACCTTTCTTATTATCAATTGTTACAAAGACATCTATTTTGTTATTTAAGTCAAAATCTTATCTGGTCAGTCTAATTATTATAAAATGTCAATTTTGAAACATTTTATATTATTAAAAAAAATTATTTTATTTAAATTTTTCAGAGTATCACATTCTACCCTCCTTAAAAGATGTTTCGTCCCGAAGCACAAGTTAAGAAAAATTATCCCCGAATACAATTAACAGTTATTACGTGTTATTTATATTAAATTCTTTTTATTCAATTTAAGGAGTGTCACATTCTACCCTCCTTAAAAGAATGCTTCGTCCCGGAAGCATACTACAAAAATTTTCCTTAAGAATACTCTTATGTTATATCCTATATATACAAAAAAAAAAAAGGCGCAGATAGCACATATGTCTTAGGGCTAAATCTTTCCTGGGGAGTATATCACCAATATGCCTATTTCAATAAGTTATTAATATTCACATAATTATACACAAGTATAAAATCAATACTCACCAACTCACCACGATTCTTAGACTTATTATTAACTTAGTCAAATTATTACTCCTAAGTTTCTTCTTTTAGAAACACATGTATAAAACCGGTAAATTTGTTTGTTTTTTCCTTGGATATAAAACATTTGAGAAAACTCCTTGCAAAAGTTTCAATAGGTTCTAAAAAACAAAAGCTCACTTAAGCGAGTTTAACAAAATCTCAAAAAAAATTGATTTTTTTTTTTTTTTTGAAAACTATAGTCACTTGAAGGAAAGTTTTGTTTGAAAATCCTTAATTTAAAAATCTCACAAAACGTTTGAAAATCCCATTTTGGAAAAACGCTTTGAAAATATTCCCGATAAAATAATTGCTTTGATACCAACTTGTTGGTATCACTTAATAGAAAAAAAAATCTGAAAAAATGTTTGAAAGCCCCACGGTGACTGGTTGGTGGATTGCCGTGATGCTCAGCGGCAGCACTTAGGTCCGGTGGCAAAAACTCCAGCTTCTCCTCTTCCTCTAGCGTGAACCAGCCCGGCGTACAACCGGGTCTTCTTCTCCGGCAATGGGGTGGTGATGCGGCGAGATCCTTTCTCTCTTGCGACGGCCAACTCACACCCTCTCCTCTCTCTTCTCTCTCTCTCGACAGATCAGAGGTAGTAAATCCTGTTGCTCGTTTTTTTTTTTTTGTTTTCTTTGCACGTCTATGAGTAATATATAACGTATGCATATATAGGAGTTCGAGTACATTGCACCGACAGTATTGATTAAAACTTCCCATGTGAATTTGTAATTGGATGTCTATATGCTTAGCTAATCACACTTGTGTACTTTTGGCCTCATCCGATGTGCATGATGTGGGAGGCATGTGCATTAATTTCCTTTGTTTACTTCTCCATATTATTGCTATGTGTATACATTTTCATATTCTACTAGTATTTTATTATGTGAATGCATAAGCCATATGTATATATGGGTATTATTGAATATAATGAAAGGACAATGGAGCTACACGTATTTCTATAGTAACGTAGATGTAAATTGTGACTATAATATACTCTATATTTGTTAGTATGGGTGTTCATCTAAGTATGTATGTATGTATGATTATTATTATTATTCGGATGTATGATGTGAAGGGAAAACAAATGCACATGGAGGCATGTACGTACATACATGGGCTATGTCCATGTGAATGGTTGGTAGGCATGTGTATGTGAGAATCCTTTATTATTACTAGGCACCACTTATATTATTGGTACATCAAGCATATTATTTTAATATACAGTATGCATTATTATTAGACTTTAAAAGTCAACTCTTTCTTTGTTGTTTTCGTATGGTATTTATAGTATATTTGTACCCATCATGTCTTCAAATTAAAAATGTCACTTTTATTATTAAAACATTTTTATCTGATTTAAAATGTCATCGATGTTAAAAATTTATCCGATTCACTTAATTATTAAAATGTGACTTTCGTAACATTTTATCTGACTAATAAATTTTATTTATTTTATTCCAATTTTTCGGGGTGTCACATTCTACCCTCCTTAAAAGATGCTTCGTCCCCGAAGCATATGTTAAGAAAATATCTGCAATACTATTAGTAGGTATCACATGTTTAGTTAATATTAAATCTTTTTATTAAATTTAAGGAGTGTCACATTCTACCCTCCTTAAAAGAATGCTTCGTCCCCGAAGCATTTAACTTATTCAAGAAAATAATTTATTCGTCAAATGTCAAACGATACATAATTCTCAAACAGATTTATTAATTTTGAAAATAAGAATTTTTATATGATTTCGCCTACTATTTTCATATTCTTCCGTTGTGTTTTGCATTATTTTCATGATGACTGATTCCAAGAGTCGGAGGGATTCCCTTCTTCCTTGAATGGCACTCGAACACCCTATGCCCTAGCTTGTCACAATGAAAACATCGTACGAGCGTTCCGTCACAGTATTTTCCAGGGTGATCTTTTCCACACTTCGAGCAATAGAAGTGTGTCTTCTCGGTGTGGTTCTTCTTCTTACGTTTCTGGTCTTGGCCTTGGTTGTTGATCTTGTTACCATTGCGGGTCTCCCCTGGCTGATTTATAAGCTTGTGTTGTTTGCCGCCCCATTTGCTTTCTTCTCCGGTCCCCTTCCTCGCTCTCTTGAGTGCTTTCTTCTGGAGTTGTTGCACTCGATAGTGCTTGCCAGCTTTGTTGTAGGCATCGTTCAATGTTTGGCATTCTGAAATGCAAAGAGCTTTTTGTGTCTCGAAGTTCAGACCGCGTATAAACTTATTTGTTTTCTCGATTTCATCGGGAACTAGCGTGGGTGCAAATCGTGCGAGATTCAAGAATTTAGAGTGGTACTCTTGAACAGTCATGCCTATTTGCTTCAGGTGTAAAAATTCTTCATACTTCTCAGCTCTCACGTGCTCTGGGTAGAATCTTTTTCGCATTGCCTCCTTGAACGTCTCCCAAGAAAAGTCGGGTTGTTGACGCAACGTTGGGGCAGTCGTGGCCCACCAATTGTCTGCCTCTTGACGTAGATAGTACGCAGCCGTATTAATTCGTTGATCTGCAGGGCAATTTATAGCATCGAAAAGTTTGTCGAAAGTGCGAATCCAATCCTCAAGGATGAGAGGATCTTCTTGGCCTAAATAACACGGTGGATTGCGCTTCGCTACAAGTTTCGCTACATCATTGCGGTTTTTGAGACGTTGTTGGTGTTTGTTCTGAACTAACACACTCCCGATAGTCTGGATGAGTTGAACCATATTTTGAGCCAACTCCGCATTCGTCGGTGCGACGACATTGTCTTCTACTTTGTTTCTTGTTGACTTCATTGTCTACTTGAAAGAATAATGTTTAGGACACGAAGTATATCGAATGATATTCACAATTACACTACCTCACCTTATAACTCACTATTCACATAATTTGGTACGTATATCTGATATAAGTATAACTCAAACAATTCAAAGAACCACAAACTCCACCAAAATATAAATTCAAAATCTCACATTCTCACCGCGGTCCTAGAAGTTCTTACTTATTCCCTAGTAAATTAATTTCTTAGTATTTCAGAAAAGCATTTTACAAAAATCCCCTTGGAAAATATTAAGGCTTTGATACACTTAAGGGAGTTTAAGAAAATCTCAGAAATTGTTTAAAACCCCCATTTTAGAAAATCAAAGTCTCTCATAACAACTTGTTGGTATTACTCATTGAAGTTTTTAGAAAGTCAAAAAAATGTTCGAAAATATTTTTTTTTTTGAAAATCATAGTCACTTTAGGAAAAACTTTTATTTGAAAACCCACATTTAAAAAATCAAAGGCTCTGATACCAACTTGTAACACCCCCAAATTTCCCACCCAAAAGTACATTTAAATAATGATTTATCAGAATTATGCAGCGGAAAATTCAAAGGGAAACTGGGGCGTTACCGCCACACTCGGCTCTCACATAACCGGGTGCACAGGCTACCCACCACCAACAAGTTAAAATTTTCCATATTTAATTGTTCAATTACAATTCTTTAAAATTAAGACTAAAATAAATTACTCAATCACTTTAGTCTACGTGTTCTAGCGGAAGCTCTCGAAATCAACTTCAATATGATCCTCAATTCCTGCACAAATAAAGTACAGAAAGAAAAACACAAAGAAACAAAAATTAGCTGGAAATGCTAAGTAAGGCCCACCCAACCCTGTAAAATAATCATGTTTGATACATATATATCATTTTGTGAAAACATTTGGGAGGAAACCTCATGAAACATTTTATACAAACTTCTCATCACAAAAATCACATGTAAAATAATAATATTCCAAATCATAATAATTCTAAAAGGTCAATATACATAAACCCACAAAATCCTCGTAATTATATTCCAAAACATAAATCATATGTAAAGCCCAAATATTCATCTCAAAATACTTCCAAATTCTCATAATCAATATTCAACATAACCATATCAAATCAAATTAATAAGTATTACTTTGAAAATCTACAAATAATGTAATAATCTCAACCACATCAAATTCAATCCAATCCAAACAAATATAACCCACTCAAATAATCCAATATAATGTAGTTCAATTCATCTCCATCAAGTCCAACCAAATAATCCAAATCATCTCAAGTTCAATCATTCAAACTCAACCAAATCCAATGGAAGCCGAACTCCTACCTTAAGTGTGCACACCCCCTAAAAGAGATTCCAAGCTCTCCGGGTAGTAAAAAGTCCGAGTAGTCGGGATTTTTCTACCGACTACTACAATTAAGCTGGGATGCTCCGCTTTTGGAAGATCCCTGGTGGAATTAGACTTATAGTCATTACCACTCACCAAATCCACATTTCTCCGAGTACTCACAAAAATCATAATCCAATCTCAATTTCAAGTATCATAACATCAATCAAAATGGATATAAAATCCGAATTCCACAAAATTATTCACAATGAAATTATTAACTCCAACTCATCATACTCAAATATACCATAAATAGTCCAAAATATAGGATACTTCATAAATAGCTCAAATCTCAAATCTCAATCGAATAACAATTCATATGTAAATTCAAATGCTCAAAATATCACCCAATATAAAATACTCAAATCTCAAATATATATAATTCACAATCACAATTGATACATAAAATCTCATTAACTATCATATACTCAAATGATCTCAAATAACTAGTCACAAATAAATTTATATGGGAAAAGCATGAAATTTGGTTGACATAGTACTTACCTCGAATCGCGACAATTCCTATCCGAAGCTTCTACCTCGATCTTCTCCAAATTCACCTTCTAGAATATTAAATTCTAGAATTAGCACTTAATCTCATTCTTATACCTTACTCGATTTCTATCCACACTGGGATTAATGTGTTATATCTCAATTATTACTAATTAGTCGTTTAATCCATTTTCTAGTTAAGATGCCTCTTTTTATGAAGTAAACTAAGCTGTTCACTTCATCGGATAAATTTTATACAAGGATAAAATGTAGACCAGTGGCTAATACCTTAGTCAAATTCACTCAATCTTTAGGCAACCTGGTCAACTAAGCCATTTAATACGCAGTATATTATTATATTTATATTAATTTGCGTCAGAATTTATTTATCACTAAAATGTCATCTTATCCGGTGAGTCCATATATTTGGTCCAGCGTAAAGTCGTAAACAGTCCATAACTATTAGAAATAGTGCAGTTGTAATAATATTTTTAGCCCAGTGTATTATTGTTGTTATTAATCAGTCTGGTAAACTAAATAAATAGCCTAGTCCATGATAATTTCGGCCAGCCTAGTAATTAGATTAATACCCACTCCACCTATTATCTAGCAACCCAGCTAGGTATTACGAAGTATTATTAGTGGAGTTGGCTCAACCTATATTTTAAATAAAAGAGATCTAGCCCATGCATTAGTCATTAACGTATTATTACGTACGTAGTATATATACTATCGTAATACGAAGTACAAAGTAAGATGGACATACGCTTTGTCGTCTTCTCCGCAAAACAGTTCTGGCGACGTAGGGAGTAGCGGCAATACGAGCGACGATGTCCTTCTCCTCCGCACAGAAGTTCCAGTGGACTCCGGCAGCTTCCTTCTTCCGTCCGACAGACGGGTTCCACTCCGGCGAACTGCTTCTCCACGGTGACTGGTTGGTGGATTGCCGTGATGCTCAGCGGCAGCACTTAGGTCCGGTGGCAAAAACTCCAGCTTCTCCTCTTCCTCTAGCGTGAACCAGCCCGGCGTACAACCGGGTCTTCTTCTCCGGCAATGGGGTGGTGATGCGGCAAGATCCTTTCTCTCTTGCGACGGCCAACTCACACCCTCTCTCTCTTCTCTCTCTCTCGACAGATCAGAGGTAGTAAATCCTGTTGCTCGTTTTTTTTTTTTGTTTTCTTTGCACGTCTATGAGTAATATATAACGTATGCATATATAGGAGTTCGAGTACATTGCACCGACAGTATTGATTAAAACTTCCCATGTGAATTTGTAATTGGATGTCTATATGCTTAGCTAATCACACTTGTGTACTTTTGGCCTCATCCGATGTGCATGATGTGGGAGGCATGTGCATTAATTTCCTTTGTTTACTTCTCCATATTATTGCTATGTGTATACATTTTCATATTCTACTAGTATTTTATTATGTGAATGCATAAGCCATATGTATATATGGGTATTATTGAATATAATGAAAGGACAATGGAGCTACACGTATTTCTATAGTAACGTAGATGTAAATTGTGACTATAATATACTCTATATTTGTTAGTATGGGTGTTCATCTAAGTATGTATGTATGTATGATTATTATTATTATTCGGATGTATGATGTGAAGGGAAAACAAATGCACATGGAGGCATGTACGTACATACATGGGCTATGTCCATGTGAATGGTTGGTAGGCATGTGTATGTGAGAATCCTTTATTATTACTAGGCACCACTTATATTATTGGTACATCAAGCATATTATTTTAATATACAGTATGCATTATTATTAGACTTTAAAAGTCAACTCTTTCTTTGTTGTTTTCGTATGGTATTTATAGTATATTTGTACCCATCATGTCTTCAAATTAAAAATGTCACTTTTATTATTAAAACATTTTTATCTGATTTAAAATGTCATCGATGTTAAAAATTTATCCGATTCACTTAATTATTAAAATGTGACTTTCGTAACATTTTATCTGACTAATAAATTTTATTTATTTTATTCCAATTTTTCGGGGTGTCACAATGTAAATTGGACTATAATCACAATCTGACAGATAGAGAGTGGGGCTCTCTCCCCGGTACTTGCAGAAGCCCTATGCATTTTTCAGCATAGTAACCCCTCATCGCAGTTGCCGGGATTCGAACCCGAGACCTAACCCTTGTGGCACTCCCTCACTACCAGTTGAGCTACGCCCACCGGTCGAACAACGATTTGAAGAGAGCATTTTTGGTCAAGACATCAATCGGGCCATAGGTTTTTCAATCAAAACATCGTCGCCGGGGAAGCAACAATAGTAGGATCTTGTTGTTGGTTTCTTCTTCAGTCCTAGCTAGCTGGTGGAGTGACACCCCTACTACTGTTTTATTGTTGTTTTTTATCATGAATTTATAAGAATAAGTTTAAGTATGGATTCATTGAATACTTTTGTGTGTTGAAATTGTTTCCTTTTTGTTTTGTTGCATGTTGTTGCAATTTGTTTCATCGTGTTACATCTTGTTGCATTTTGTTGCTTTTTATTTTGTTTCTTTTTGTTGTATCGTATAGTTTTTTGTTGAATTGTGTTGTTTTATTGATATGTTTGTTAATTTGGCTTTCTGTTTATGTTTACTATTTAGGAGTAAAAACCAACACACACAAACAAACACTCATAATAATAATTTTTTATTTTTGAAAATGAACAAGAAACAAAAATAAATAATAAATAATTACAATTTAATAGACAAAAAATAAAAAGCAATCCCATGCAACAAGAAACAACAATAAAGTGGTGTGGTGATAATAATTACCTTTTGTTTCTATTTTAAGACTTAAAAATACAAAGTTCCTTTTTTTTTTACAATTTTATTCATTTCTTACAAATTTTCTTCATTTCATACATTTTATTTTTTAACATTTTGATTTTTGATATTTTATTTTCTATAGACTTTTTCAAATTTAATTTTCTGTACTCGGTTTAGTATTTTTCTTATATTCTTAGACTTTTAACAGCTTATTATAGTTTGCTCTTTGTTTTAATTGATTTTTTTTAAATTTAATTTACATTTGATATATTTATCCACATTTTTACATTTTTTCCTCTATATCATTTTTTCTTCAATTATTGACCCTTTTTTCAACTTTTGTTATTCCAATTATTTTTACTACTTAAAACTTTTATTTAAATATATATATATATATATGTATATTATTTAATACTTAAGATTTTAGATTATATATTGTATTTATATATTCTGTTTAACCTTTTTGCTAATTTTCATTGTCTTCCTAATTTACAGACTTTATAATCTTTCAATTTTGTATAACATTTTATTTTCGTGAAAATTTATAACATCTTTTCATTGAGAACAACTTTTCTAATAATAATAACAATAATAATTATTTATATTGCTTTTAATTGTTAGTTTTCAATAAGAGTAAAAAATGGAAGTACATGACCTGGGAGTTACGGAGTTTATGATCTCAATATTAATAAGGAAATGGGGTCCAGTGTTTTGAGTGTTTGAATTAACATGCGTGACCTGGGAGCAGAGTGTTTACGCGTAGGTAGTGATGGACCCGGGCCGGGCTAAGGCCCGGTTGGGCCTCGGGTCTGGTAAAGGTAGGCCCGGGACCGGCCCGGGCAATGGCCGGTTCCGGTTCGGGCCGGGCCACCCGCCCGGGTCACGGGTCGGGCCACCCGCCGGGCCGGGCCGGGCCAGTATTTTTTTTTAAAATTAATTATATATTATACAAATTCCTATTAAAAACAAAGTTCAAGTGCATTTATTTGAAATAAGAATTACATTTGAGAATTGAGAAAAAACAACAATACGAAATACATTTTCTAATGAATATCAATTGGGATTTCCGCCACCGTTGGTTGTTGTTTTCCCTTTGTCACAAGACTTCATATGTTTTATTGGCATCCCGTATCCATGTGAACGCCCCAAGCAACACTCTTTCTTGCACCACCTGCAAGTTGCCCACCACAGTCCGGTCTTCGGGTCCTTCCACTTGTCAAAATTGTTTTGCATAAGGGAAGATGTACTTTCCATATTTAAAATGGTATATGTATAAGTAGGATTGTAGGAATGTAGGATAATAAGAGAAGATGAAGATGGAGAAGAGTTGGAGAAGAATTGGAGAAGAGGTGTGGAAAAATGTTAGAAAATGGATGTATTTATAGATGTTTTTGAACCCTGCTCCCCACACCACCACCCCCGGGACCCCCCTGCCCCCCACCCATAGCCCCAACGGCTATATAGCCGTTTGAGAGGTTTGATTTCAATTTTTTTTTTAAGTTATACATATTGTAAAATAAATTAATTAATTTAATGAATTAAGTAAAACTAAAACTATTTGTACTTAGAAAAGTGGTTTGATTTATAATTTACAAATGTTACAAAATAGGTGTATAAGTATTTAAACAAATTACATATTGTAAATGTATTTTTAATTTAAAAACCGGCTTTATATTTTAGAAAAATAATTTTAAGTCGTTAGTTTGTAACCAATTAATTAATTTGAGAAGTGCTACATATGAAAAAGTGAACGCATATTTATTTGAAATATGAAGTACAAGTTTACAAATTAATTTGAAGTACAACTACAAATTTACAATTTTGAAATATGAAGTACAAATTTACAATTTTGAAATATGAAGTACAAGTATAAATAAATTTGACAAGTGCTACAAAATACATTTTATAATAAATTCTAAAATACTAATCAATCGGAATCTCCGGCATAGGTAGAGCCACCATCGGTTGTTGAGTCATCCATAAAATCTTGGGAGGGGGTGATGCTCATTTCTTGAGTTCTACGTGTGGCCTTCAACCAATAGCCGGTTTGTGGGTCCTTCCATTTATCAAAATTATTTTTCATTAGTTCAGACTTACTTTTTTTTTATTACCGGTGGCGGTTTGGGATGAGGCAGACACCCTCCTCCTCGGCCGTCTCCGGTTCCAATTCCTCCGCATCTTCATCCTCAAGCTCCTCTTCGTCAATGGTCGTCGGCATTTGTTGTTGTTGTAGAAAGCGGTTATTATATCGGGCCAATTCTTGTTGGAGTTGTTCTTCGGACATCGCATCTCCATCTCGCCTTTGGTAACCCGTTTCAAAATCATCTCGGCTTTGAGATGAAGAACCGGCAAGTTCTTTACCTTTGCGGGATTTCTTCCTCCCAATCTCGTTCCTTCGATTGCGTTGGAGGTTACCCAAATCAACCGAATATCTACCACCTTCCATCTTAAAAATGTAACAAATATTAATTGACAACAAATATAATAATGGATACAAAACTAATGCAACTAATTAAAACTATTTTAATTAATACTTCAAACTAATTTAGTGCAAAGTAGAATTAATGTGTGACTTTAAAATTAAAATTATAGCAACTTTTGAAGTACTTTAATTTAGTAAAAACTACTTAAATAAAATGTTAAGTACTTTAATTAAATGATTGAACTACTATTTCTTCCTACAAATATAAATTGAAAATAAGAAAATGTGACTTTAACTATAATGACAATTAACTAGTTTATTGAAGTAGAGTTATTTTAACAATTAATGAGAATACTAATGAAGTAAATAACTAGTATAATGAAAAATGTAACAACAATGCTAATTAACTAATTAACTAGTATAATGACAAATGTAACAAGAATGCTAATAAACTAATTAACTAGTATAATGAAAAATGTAACAATAATGGTAATGAACTAATTAACTAGTATAATGAAAAATGTAACAAGAATGATAATTAACTAATTAACTAGTATAATACTACTTATAGTAAGTAATATATAATATAATGTTTATAGTATATAATATATAGAAAAGATCCTGTCCAGACGTCCGGACAGGAGCCGCCGTCCGGCCGGCGGCGTTTGGCCGCCTTCCCGGTGGATTTTTTTGATGAAATTTTTATGGCATGTTCTCCATCAAGTCTAGTTTATCCACAAAAAAATTCAGCCAAAAACTCAATCGGGAAGGTCGTCAAATGATTTTTGCAAGTTAACTGGTCCGGAATATGTATTTTCCGGACCAGTTAACTTGCAAAAATCATTTGACGACCTTCCCGATTGAGTTTTTAGCTGAATTTTTTTGTGGATAAACTAGACTTGATGGAGAACATGCCATAAAAATTTCATCAAAAAATTCCACCGGGAAGGCGGCCAAACGCCGCCGGCCGGACGGCGGCTCCTGT